AGGGAGGCAGTGAAGGACAGGAAGGCCTGGCACAATATGGTTCATGGGGTCACGAAGAGTCTGACACGACTTAACGACTAAACACAACAACATGCTTAAGATATGAGCTTTAATTGCGTATGAGATAGTTCATTCCCAGTTGCTAAACATTCAACAAATGCTCAACATTCTTAGATCCCCAAAATCTGAAGAGAAATAAAAATGAGTCTCGCTTAAGGCTTTTACTGAAGTCACCGGATTCTGCTGGATCGTGTCCTTTGAATTCAGAGTTTCTGAGGCCCAGTCCCAAAGGTTATGTGAAAGTCAGTCCTACCCCACTCCTTTGAATGTAACTTCCAAGGGACGGGCTTATCCCGCCCTGCCAGGCCGCAAAGCCTTTGCATAACTAGTGGGAAGTAAATCCCTTTCAAGCAGATGGGTTTTATTTGGGCTCTCCTTGGCTTGACTCCAAATGATTCGTTCCGGTATGTTCACCGGTTGTGGAACTGCTGCCTCCTAGCACAGCTTGTCGAAACTCTGGGAGAGAGCGAGCGAGCCAGCGAGAGATCGCACAATGCAGCCGCGCACGAAGATGTCTTCTCACTCGACATAAAGTGCATCTCTCAAGAAACGATGCGGTGAAGGTCTTCTTCACTGACAGTTTGCCAATCTCACCCGTATGACTGAAAAACAGCAAGCCAGCTTTTGGCTTTTGCACGAAACCCTTTTCCCGTCTTGTAAATGGAAAAAGGATGGTCAGTCTTGCAATCCTGTAGCGGGGCATAGGCTGTCGATAAAACCTTGGCAGGGTTAGCCTTCGATCTGGTACGAATGACTTTGGAAGTAAACCTTTGCTGGACTGAGGGTTAGCCTTCGATCTGGTACAAATGACTTCGGAAGTAAACCTTTGCTGGACTGAAAGGGGGCTCCTACAGCCTGGTAGAGAAGCATAAAACCAAGCCAGGTCACGTGGCTCTTGGTCATGCCAAGATGGGGCAACTACCCAAAAGTTTTGAGGACCACTGTTAAAACAGCTTTCCTTAACGCAGAAGGCAGTTTGTACCACTGATTTCGGGGGGTGGGGGACCCTAAGACCTCTGAGGAAGCGAGAATGATCTCTTCCTCAGGTGTGTCTCCTCGTCTCTTCTGCCTGATCCTAGAAATAGCCCTAGGTCAATCAATTGCCTTAAATGTTTACAGAAGTATAGTAAGAAGTCTCTTTTTCCTTCTGCAGCACTGAGATGTCTTGGATATAAATCCCTGATCGGAGGACAGGCCTGGTATTATGAGACAATGGCATCTGCATGGAAGGCGGGTGCAGGGGGTGGGGTGCGGGATGAAACAGGAAACTTTTGGACAGTCGAGAGCTGCCTGAAATTCTCCAGGAAAAGCGACTGGGATGCCTCCGTCACTGCCATGTGAAGGAGAGATACATCCTTTGGTGATAGATAGCCTCGTCTTTTCTAGGGAATAAGACCCAGGGATTTCAACTGAGCTTCCTTCCAACTAAATTCTAGGAATATTAGCTCCCAGCCATGGGGCTGGAATCTAATGCTTATTTCCCATCCTGTATTGAAGCCCTGCAGTGCACTCCTAACTCCCACCCCACACCCCTGAGTTCATCGGCATTTCCTTCCAAAGAAACGTTGCGTAGGATTATGGTAATAAAATTATTTCTATGGACAAAGACACAGTTATTTGAACAGGTCTGCAACTTGCAGATAAGTTTGTTTAAAATGTGAGTTAGCCCCTTCTCTCTCTACAGTTCTGCTGGAATATTTTATGGCTGTTCAGTAATACACATGGACCAGCATATATTTCCCATATTATTTCTCCCCATTCCTTCACCATTTTCCCCTCTTGGTCTTGCATATGACTGCTGTTTGTGCAAGTTTCTTAAATAAGAATAATCTGGCAGACCCTTTGGTTCTGTTACAATGAGAACTGGACTTGTAGCTTTTCAATTTATTGTTCTAAATAAATAGAATAACACACTTGGGGGAAAAATGATTTTGTGCTGCCTGAATCAGGGTATGGGCAATAAGCGTCAAAGGAGAAGGAAGACACACGATTCTCATAATCTTGTGTCTTATGATGCTTTCTCTTCCTTATTTGAGTTCTGGCGCGACCCTCTGAAATCCAAATAAAACTATTTCTGCAGTGTTTTTAAACACTTCCAAGAAACGGTGAGGAATCCTGGCTTTCGTGCAGGTGAGCCCAGAAGAAAAGGAAAGTCAAGTAACGAAGCCAGTCTCTAAGCTGAACTCTGAGCTTAGAGCCATGAAGTTGGCGATATAGCAGCGTTCCTTTTTCCTTTTTAAAAGTGTAGGTATTTTCTGGTGTTTTCCCATCAAGTACCTGCCCAATTTCTGTATGGCACACGCCAGGAATCAATAGAAGTTAACAAGGCCTCCAAACATTTTCCCCCCACCCCAACATCTCTTTGTTTAATCGCCTTTACAATCCAGCCAAAGGAGAGAGAATTAAAAATCTTTGAAGTCCTCTGGTGTACAAAAGGCTCAGCCAAGTAGACTTAAAACACTCCCTTCTTTTCCAAAACTGGTTTGTCGAGGAACAATCGGAGGAAGTAAAATTTATGGAGAAATTATACAGTGGATTTGTCACTTAAAATATCGTAACTGTCTCGGGGACAATCCCCCATGCTGAGGATTAATGGTCCCTCCAGACCTTTGATTCACCAGCGTCTTTTCTTTGCCCTTGACAAATTGGATTTTTAGGAATGGGAAGGTCGCCTGGGCCATTGTTGACTGCCCCATTCAAAAAAGCCCTTGATTATGCGCTGCGGAGTGGGGGAGAGGAGAAGGGAAGGGGTAGGGAAAAGCACCATGTGACCCTCTCCCGGATGGAACTCGGCAGCTGCTCCGAGAGCTCAACTCTCTCGCCGCCCCAACCGGGCGCCCTGGAGCACCCTCGTGCCAAGGGGAGAGCCCTCGTCGTGAAGCAATTGAAAAGGCGGCGCGCACCCCCGGCCGCGTCACTCTGCGGGCGGAGAGAACGCCAGGGCGGCTCAACCCGCGTCGCTGCTCTCGCTCACTCCAGTTCGCCCAGAGTCGGGCCAGCTTCCCAGCGCCGTGTCTTTGCCCAGAGGCAGCGATGCTAAGCAGCCGGCCCCCGCCAGCCCTCGGCATCACCGCAGAGAGCAGCATCCCGGCTGGCCTGCGCCTGGGTCCTGTGCCCGGCACCTTCAAACTGGGCAAGTACCTGTCTGATCGCAGGGAGCCGGGACCCAAGAAAAAGGTACTGCTCCCGCACCTGGGCAGAAAGCACAGGGGGGACCGGAAAGCCCAGACGGGAAAGGGGAGGAAGGGGAGCGGATCCCTTCGAGGGAACAGCGGGCAAGGAAGCCCTACTTTTCCTGCCTCGCCCCGCCCGCGCGGAGCAGAAAGACAGTGAAGGGCTTGGGCCAGAACCCTCGTTCTGACGCCGTTCAGACTTTTAGTTTTCAGGAAGAAGCTGGCTTTGGGTGCTTGGTATTCCAACCCCGCCCCCCGCGCCCCCACACACAGACACTTCCCAAGCGAGGGCAGTCGACCAATTTACTGGCAGTGCGATATTTTTCTTTCCCCACCCTGAGTGGCCTTTGACATTCAGAATAAGTTTTCCCGTCTTGATCTCTCTTTCCAAACAACCAAAGCACAGGATTCATAATTAAGAAATCATGAAATGGTCGCGATCCATTTTTGCGATCCTCCTCCTGATTTTGTGTTTCTCTGTTGGCAAGGGGAAGAGGGCAGAAGAAAGTTTTCAGTGAAAATGGAACTAAAAATAGGCACCTCCAGGACCCAGGTGAGCTAGGCCCTTTTAACGGGGCTCGGGGTGGGGCTCGGGAGGCGGCAACAAAATCTCGCCTGATGCACCTTTGGTCCTCCAGAAGAGACTGTCAGAAGGGTGGACCGGCAGCCTGCTTGAGCAAAATCAACTGTCATGTGGCACTGCCACCCCACAGACACTTAACGTGGCACCAGTTGTCTCATTTTAGAAGCTATTCCAACAGAGGTAGCACATGCATGCACAGGTATAGAAAACGAGAAAGTTTGTAAGCTGTGGATTCATAGATCCACCTAGGGTAGGAGGCAGATTTTTCACAGGTCTTTGCCAAGGTCAAATATGATGCAAAGAATAATTGGGTGAGTTTTGTCATGGAGCCATTGGGCTATGTTGAAGAGATGCCTCATGCATATCCCAAACCATTGCTGAAATATCCTATCCGTGTCTTTTAATGGTGAATAATAATAATAATAATAATAATAATAGGAGTGTTTTGATCCAGATGAAATATTTATTTAGCAAAAAGAATCGGGATGATTTCCCAAATAGCAACTCTGTCGGCCATTGGTGGTATTTACACATCCCAAGCCCATAAATGGGTTCCAAAATAGAAATGGTTTCAGGGGTACAAGACCTTCTCCAGATGAAGTTAGCAGGAGGCAATTTGGTCCCCAAGCGCGGAGATCTGTCACAAGTTTCACTTGGATTCTGAATGGCCTTTAATTGTTTTTAAATGCTCTGCCAAGCTCTTCAAATTTATTTCTCATCTGGCTCCCTTGGTTGCCCCCTTTAGCTTGCCTTTGTTAGAATGATGTTTATTGCCCAGTCTTTCAGTGACGTAGCTCCTCATTTGCTCTCTCTCTCTGTGATGAAGCAGATTATGAACGATGAGGGCGATTTTACCACTAAACTGAGTCACTCATCCTTTCTCTTCCTGCCCCCTTCCTGAAACAAGCCTGATTAGGTGGTTCATTAATTAATTGCACTGAAAGGGATTGCAGTCAGGAAATCAATGCAGAGATTTGCTAGGCTGGAGGGGAAACGTTAATAGAACATTTTGAAAAGTGGCTGCAAGTAAGCATTTCAAGATGTGGCAGTAGAGACAGACCAGAGAAAGTGAAAGCAACATGATGGAGATGTTGGAAAATTGGGCAGCACAACTCAGTTGGAAGTGTCAGTCCTTGGAAGTAAGGCTTACTAAACTCAGAAGGATTTCCTTCAAGGAAAAATGCATAGTGGGTGTCCCTTCTCTATGGCCACAGTACATAGATGGAGGACACTGAAACACTTGGATTCAAACTTGAGCAGTCAGCATGATTCTCAGCTCTGGTTCAACCCAAGGAAATCGGCTATTGTTACCTTGATTGCCACTCTGATGCTAGGAGCCAAAATTTAGAGCCCTTGAAACCAGAAAGGCTCCAGCATCAATACTCTCTAGGTTCTGTACCAGCACCAGCCATATCACCTGAAATCCCAGCCCTTCGTTTTAAGTGGATCGGGCACTTACTTTTCCCCAGGGTGCCTAGGCAAAATCATTTGGAGAGCCTTTTAACGGAAATAAACGAAAAACGAAAAACGAAGAAAGCAGTAGGTTTAGTAGTGTCTCCTCCAAAGACACTATTCCTTAGAGGCAAACCAGATTTACTACCGAGTAAACAGGTGTTTACCAATTCAGCACTCCAAATCCAGAGCCTGTCAAAAAAACCAAACCAAACCAAACAAACAAACCAAAAAACCCTAAAATCATTCATTGCACTCAACCGCTTAAAACAATTGCCTTGCCAGATTCTGGTTTGCAGCGGTGGCTGTAGTGGCTGATGGTTGCTCCTCTAAGGATGTGACCTTCTGCACATTGACCTTGCGGCAAGCCTCGACGGAAGTGGATGCGCTTCGGGTTGCTCCTAATCGCCTCCTGGCTGCAGCTGTTGGCTAAGGAGCTAAGCCCATCGATGGGTTCCATTCCTTTGCAGATGGTAGGGACCCTTTCTAGTGGAGAGAAAGGTCCAGGGAAAAGGATCTCATTCGACCCCGCTCCGATCGGAAGGCTGGTTTCAAACACGCGCCCTGCCAGGCAGCGCAAGCCAACTGCCACGTACTTGGTCCTAGAACTGACCGGCCTTCCCTGTCTTCCAGGTGAGGATGGTGAGAGGGGAGCTGGTGGACGAAGCTGGAGCCTCGGCCGTGGAATGGATCGGGCTAATCCGGGCTGCCCGACATGCGCAAGAGCAGACGCTGGAAGCGATGGCAGATCTGCCGGGGGGACAGGTACTGGCCTCCTAGTTTGGTCCCGGTAGCTGGAGAGGCGGAAAGGGGCTCCATCCGGGTCTGGGGGTAGCAAGCCTTGTCCCTCTGAGCCGTTGAGGGTCTCCGTTTCTCGTTTCTCCTTAGATTTTCTACCGGGCATTGCGAGACGTCCAGCCGGGAGAGGAGCTGACCGTCTGGTATTCCAGCGCGTTGGCTGAGTGGTTTGATATCCCGGCCACGGCGACTCCGACGCATGACGAGAAAGGTAGGCGCCTGCAAGGATCTCGGGTCGGGTAGAGCCCGGCACCACCGGGAAGCGTTGCCGGAGGGCGCTTTCGGCCCCTTGGCGTCGCAGTCGCGACCCTGATCACTTCCACTCCCTGGGCGTTTTGCGACTGACTTTCACACAGGCAGAATCGCCCCCGTCCAGCTCAGTCCGAAACGTCTTTAATTCGAGGGAATTCGGCCCCATTGAGCCCAATGGAATTTGTTCCGATTGCGGATCTGGATTTCCTGCAAGGACGGGCAGGCACGCAGCTCGGGCGCAGCCTTACGAAAAGACGCGTCTTTCCTCTCATTGCGCCACGTTTTCAGCTCCACTGATAAGGATGCAAAAGGAGGCAATAGGAAACTGCGGAGCCACATCAAGCTTCGTATCGGCCCCTCGTGTCTTACCTCGTATAACCAGGGGAAGCAGAAGCTCCGTCCCCGCTGGCTTAGATGGCAAGTCAAGGTTCTTGAAATACGGGTTAGCAGTTAACAAGCCCTAACATATGTTCCCATTCTAAACACGATTTCTAGGGAACCTTTAACGATCGGGTTCTTAACTCTTTACTTGGCAGTAAATCCTACGGAGCCACAGAGGCGGTGGGAGGATTTCTTGACATCAAGGTATTTACTTGCAAAGGCATGTTGTTCTGCCGAGTCCCCCAGGTCTTACTCCGAAAAAGGATCCCCTGGAGTTAACGGGCTTGGCCCCCAAATTATCAGTGTAAAAGATGGCAGGTTTAGGTTGATCCTCAAGAAGGAAGGGGAGGGGGAAGTAAGCGGGTAAAAGAGAGGATGATGAAATAAAATGGACCTCCGTGTTCTTGATTAAACTGGGCGCTAGCAACTCCATTTCATATTCGAAATGGAGGGAATTTTTCTTTGCCTGTTGGAAGCACCGTCTACTGCAGAGAAAAATGTCACAGAACTAGGGAAGAAGTGGGACACCTTTGATGGTTGGAAGCCAGACTTAGCTTTTGGGGAACCTGAGGGCTGCAGTGGGCGGGGCAATGAAACAAAGGGGTGGAGACAAACTTCCTATGGTTGGGGGAATTTTGCAGGGGGGAGGGGCTGGAATTTTTTGTTTCCTAAACTCTTGTTAAGCCTACTGTAGGGCTTGCTCCATGGTATTAATATATTCCCTGTCTCAAAATGGTGAGAAACGGTGGTCAGAGCAGAGTTTCGGGGGTATGAAAAAAAAGTCTCATGAGCCAGGAATGCATGTCCTTTACAGTATTTCAGAAGCATTTCTTAGCAATAGCTACCATCAAGCAGCCTTCTAGCAGGTGGGTCAGATTCTGCCTATTCCATCCTTCTGGAATTTATTTATTTGATTTATAGGCTGCCCCAGTCGTACGACTCTGATGGCCTGTCTAGATGTCCGGCACTGTAACTCACAAGCGTCCAGTCAATGTGTTAGAATTGCAAAAGCCTCTGCTGAGGGTCTATTCTTGATGTCAGGGATGGCTTTCTAAAGTTTCAGACAGAGAGATTTCACACTGGCATTTTAAAACTTGGATGCGAAAAGCATGTGCTTTCCATCCTGAGTTTAAAGAAGCCAAAATCAACTTCAGATAGGGAACAGTTCTAGATTGTGATAGGAACAAATTTCTGAATTCACATATACAGGATTGTAGTGCGTACCTTCATGTACAGCACCTATTCTAGCACATTATCCTTCACTATTTTCAGTCACACAGTCCTTGTTTTAAAACCTTCCATATCCCCTTAAGGGACTTTATTGCTTTATTATTTGATACTTTTCTAACACCAGGGACCCATTTCTTTATTTGGGTGATTCCTCACTATTGGTTAGAGCAATTTTATGACAAAGTCCTCAACATTTTATTCTAGGATAAGGAGCTGGAGAGTAATCAAGCCAACAACAGGTGGTTTTCTGGGCAACTGTGCAGGAAGCATAAGGCTTTTTCTAACTACCTAGTCTAGTTTACAGTCCTGGGATTTCCTTGTGCTCTCCCCTCTAAACGCAGACTGGGTCCCACCCCTCTTGGCTTTTTCTGAGATCAGCCAAGGTCCACCAGGTGCTGCCTTGCTGCGAACAAACTATCTCACAGTCCTGCATGATCTCATTAAGGTTGCTATCCTCCTCTCCTTTCCTGGGAGAAGCCCCATTACATCCATCGACTCAGTTGCACTGTCAGTTGCTCTGCAGTTTCAGAAAGTGCTCTCCTTTTTCGAAGAGGAGGAGGAGGATGGCTTTTATCCTGCTTTCCACTGTTATTCCATTGTGAATATACAGCAGCCTCTTCTTGTGTGCTCCGGTGGTCCCTTGGACTATAACTCTCATCACCCACAGCCAGAGTTGCCTTTGCTGGCAGGGTTCAGCCCCACTATAGTTAATGCGGGGTGTGTGTGTGTGTGTCAATGAAAGGAATATTAATACTAATAATACAAGAACCTTTCTAAAGCTGTCCTTTTAAACCCCTGTACTTGACAATGAGGTCTCCGCTGTTGGCAGGAAAACCTCATGGACTGCCCACACCGTCTCCAGGAGCTGAGCCTGACTCGACGTTTTTTAAATATAGAGTTAATCCAACTAGAACCCAGGAGGAATGATTCCCGAGTGAATGCGCTGCAAGGCAGCAACACCCTTGGCAAGCGGTGAGACTCACTCCCCAGTTACTCTTTCTTTATTTAGCCCGTTCCTCGGCGTCCATTCTTTCTACCGTACGCGGCGAGTACATAAACTCCGGCTGCGCCGCGCTTTAAATGACCTTAGGAAACCTTTAAAGGCGGCGGCGAGCGATCTTTTTTCACTCGAGGAGATTCTCACCGAGTCCTTGGGAAAGTGTCCCCTCCTATAGAACATGTCGAGAGGGAGACACTGCAAAGCCGGCGGCTTGGAAAGACGGTGGCCTTGCCCCATAGAAGGGTTTGATCCGCTCCGTTCAGCCGGTGCAGATCGAGTAAACGAGGCTCTTAAAAGCAGACCGAAAGCGTGTGTGTGAGTGCGAGTGTGCGCGCGTGCGTGTGGAGATGCGGGCAGGAACCGGGCAAGCCAGGAGACTTTCTAATTAAGCTTGCTACTGTTTCCAAGCCAAGGAGCAGCCTTGCCAGGATCGTTTGCCCAGAGAATTGCCACTGTCACTTGAAACTTACAAGTCGGTCACATTTTCTAGTGGTTACTCTTTCATTTCTACAAGAGGTTTACCTGTGTATTTTTTGCACCTGTGCCAAGTAAACGGATCATCAAGTCGGGCTGAGAGCGAACAATTCCTAACCACTTGAAGACCAGGGAAATTATGACCCTTTCTTTCCCACCCACCCCCACCTTATCGCTCCGAAGACCAGCCACGTAGAAGCGAATTAAGAAGCGATAAGGGGTGGTGGTGAGGGAAGTCTGGAGAGAGCCGGTGGGAGGGAGAGAGAAACAGGGAATCCAAAACGCTTCTGAGTTTGTTAGAGACCTCAGCAAGGATGGCTGATGATCAAGGATGGCAGATTGCGGCTCAGTTATATCCGGGGACAAAGACTGTGCTTGGGCGTCTTTTTCCAACCTGCACTCCTTACAGCGTGTTGGACTAAGACTCCCCTCATTTACAGACAGAAAATTCGAAGCCGGTACGAAGCACCGCGTTCTTAGCTTCGCTGGCCAGGCTAGAGAGCAAGCAAGAGAAAGAACCCCCAATTTACAGAGGCAACTTCATTAGATCCCAGAAGTTTTATAAAGTAGTTGCAAGGTTCCAAATTTCCAAGAACTTTTCATTAGACAGAAGCCGGGGAAGGGAACCCAGCAGAAAATGTGTAGCATGTTTGTACCAGAGTACATGCTTGGGTAGAGTGAAAGAGCAAACTGGGCTTTGGAGGTCCCCTTGTTTCGGAAATATACATCCCAATCAATAAACTAAAACGGTTTCCCTTGGCCCCCCAAAAAGCAATTTTGTTTTGCTGATTCGAAGGTTCTTAAGTTTTGTTCATCGCCCAGAGTCCCGTTTATGAGACAGGTAGCCATATAATGGAAAGAAAGAAAGAAAGAAAGAAAGAAAGAAAGAAAGAAAGAAAGAAAAAAGTTTCCTTTTTCCAGCGGAAGGGAGGTAATCTTAATTGCTCCATTTTTTTTTTTTTTAAATCAATGGCTAACTGAAACGAAAGCCCATCTCCGTTTCTTTTAAACAGGTTCAGATGGATCCAGGTATTTTCCTGAGGCAGCTAATTAATGTAGGCAGTCACAGAGTTTATTTGCAAAGCTTGAATAACTTAAATCTTAGCTTAAATAACTTAAGAATAATTTAGGGTGCAGCCTGCCCCGTTTTTCTCAGAGCAGAAAACCCCAGGGGTCCACAGCTATTATAGGAATACAACCATTTGTTTATTTGTGAGATTTATATTTCACCCAGCATTTCCTTTAGGAGGTCAGGGCAGTGGACATAGCACTCCCTTGTCTGTTCCTCCCTCCCCCCACTACAAGCCTGTGCTCCGAAAAAAGTTGTGTCCCCAGGGTAGTGGGAGAGATCATTCTTGGGTGAGGAATATAGCACAGTAACTCGGTCTTATTTTTAATTCGCGTTATATTTCGACTTACAGAGGTTTTGCAGCCCCTTCCAGATCCTTTTTGTTATCTGCCATTTCACAACTAATCTTTTAGTTCCCTATCAAGCGGCGATGTCAACAGTTCTCTCTTCAAATCCGAAATTTAGTTTAGTGAGGCGTCCCCCACACCACTTGCCGCCCGGGCTGGAAAATGGTATATCTTTTTCGACATTTTCAGTCCTTCTGAACTTTCTGATGCTGCTCGTTAACCAGAAGATTAATATCGCTGGCCAGCGCTCCGGCGCAATCTTCGCTCTTCCTCGCAACCCACTAACCACAGAAAGAAGGGAGCGTGGACGGCTTAGCAACGCCCAGAGCGCCGTTCGACCTGAGCCAAATCGCTTTGACCCACTTCAGGGCACGCTGAACGTTTCAGGAATGGAGCCCAAAGGGCATCGCCTTTTGAATCCGCCGATTCCTTATGGCCCATCCATCTAGGACATTGTC